GAGAAACTGCTGCTCCCCGTGTCACCTCCCTCAGCTGGAGCCTTCTTTTGAAGGTGCAAAGTGGAACATTTTGGGGGTTTTTACAGGACTTTTTTCCCCTCCTCCATCATTCTTTTAAAAACAAAAACAAAACCACCTAAGTAAGCTGCTCCTTGAAATACCAGCGTGAAGCCTGGCCTTTGTGCAAAACCCAGGGAAATATTGAGCTGGAACCTGATTGAAAACCAAATAAATCAATCTTTGCTGGGGGTGGCAGCAATGGAAGAAGGATCTGGTGATGGAAACTGCTCTGAAGCTCCCATGGCACAGGGACCCTTCCAGCAGCTGCTGCAGTGTCTTGCTTGGGCTCTGCTTTCCAGCCTTTATCCAGTTCCTCTCAAACCTCAGCAGCTTTGTCTCAGAAATACCGCTTTTAACTGCAGCAACACGGAGAGAGGCACCTGAAAATTGAAGGGTAGGGGAAAGATGCCGGTGAACACAGATTTCCTGTCGCTCCCTGCTGTTTCTGGAGTTGTTTTATGGTGAAGTTGTGCTTTAAATGAGCTTAAAGGGAGATGAAGTTGCAGGAGAAGTCAGCAATGCCCAGTTTTAGGTAGAGCAGAGTGGGGCTGTGGTTGGACACCAAGTCCCTGCTCTGCGCCGATGCCGGCAGCGATGCTCCTGGGTCCTCCCGGTTCATCAAGGACCTCTCTTCCCTTTACAGACACGGGGACCCTGGCAGTCTGGAGCAGCACAGCTCAGCGTCCACAACAGAAAGGTTTTAAATACAATAAACCTGGAGTTTTTTTCCCTTTGCCATTCCCCACAGCTATGTTGAAAGTGATTCCTTTCTTATCCCACTCCTGCTATGGAAATTATTCATTTCTTTGGAGAGAAAAAAGGCGAAGATGTTGTTTTCCTCCTGCTGCAAGCACTGCTCGGGTTTTATTGCCTGGTTTCCACGTTGCCTTGCCCAGCCGCGTGTGGACTTTCTCAGTGCTGTTCAAACACATCCGCAGGTGCGTGTGTGGAAACAAAGGCGAGCTTGCCATCGAGTGGATTATCTGCCGAGCCGTCTGTCATCGTAAGAAAAGCCATCGCTGAAGGGGATTAGCATAAAGTGCACCAATAACTTCCAACAAGAGGCCTGTTAATCACTGCCTAATTCCCCTTCCCGCTCCACGGGGGAGGCTGGGTCGTTGGGCCAGAGTTACAAGGGAGCTGTCAGGCAGCGGAGGGTTTTGAGAGGCGAACATTGACGCTCTGGTAACAAAACACCATGGAGATCTCAGCCAGCGCCTTTGTGGCTGAAGAGGGGAAATCTCGCTAATGACAGCCCTGTGCCAGGGCCCGGCTGTGCGCAAACAGCTCCCATCTCACTGGCTTTGAGTGTCCTGTGAAGAGCAGCTTGAGCCGTGGTGTTTGGACACGCGGGCCCTGTGACAGTGACAGCGGCTGCCGCGCGTTCGGCCCCGTGAGACGCTGCCCAGGCAGCCCCATGGAGACACAGCGGGGCTGAGCCGTGGGGCAAAGCCGTCTGCTGTCTCCTTTGGGGGGTTCTCACCTGTGGGGCACAAAGAAAGCTCCTGGTGCATGGAGAGAGGGTTAGAGCAAATAAAATAACATGGGGCTGGTCCAGGGGGACATTATAGTGACCTTCAATACCTGAAAGGTGCCTGTAAGAAATCTGGGGAAGAGCTGTTCACTGGGGCATGGAGCAATAGGATGAGGGGTAATGGTTTTAAACTGGAAAAGGGCAGATTTAGGTTGGATATGAGGAAAAAGCTCTTCCCCATGAGGTGGTCGATCAGTGGCACAGGTTGCCCAGAGGTGGT